AAAGCATTGGAATAACCCCTGCACGAGAACAAAAGCAATATACAAAACTCATATCCTTCCGGAGAGGAGAGCTTGGCCCAAGCATTTGTATGATAGTTGCTTGTACGCTGTAAAACTCCCGTGTCCCCTTCCTACAATATCTAGTGATTTGCTTTAGATCAAGACAAAGTAAGTTGTTTGGCGAAGACACATGAATGTTTTTACCTTATTTTTAACTAACATGCCCCAAATGTATAAGATGTTTGCGCTTTAAGCTTGGAAAATACACAAACTAGCAAGGAATAGAGCTTAGCCCCGTGGGTTGTGGCACCATATCCCTTCTGTATAATGTCTAAATAGATTTAACTTTTTAGCCTGCCTAATCGTTTATAGGCAAAAATTCTATAAAAAGAATATATTATTAGGCGAATTGATTGATTCAGGCAGATTGTGTTTCTGTTGGTGAAACAGCTTAGTTTGCGTGCTGTTTACTTATGCAACTTCTTGGATGTTCTTATTCTTTCCAAGGACGACATAGTAATTTACTTTGTTTGGGAGTGATTGGTTAAATCTTTATATTATGTTAAGTTATTTTCAGTGCTGCTGACACGTTTTGAAATAATTTTTACTTGTATTTGCGCTCCAGTTTTGATGTTTAATATTTTTATTTTATCTCAGGACCACTTAGCATTAATGATGGAACTTCTTGGAACGATGCCACGTAAGGTAACAATATTGTTCTATCCATTTCTTGGGTCTTAACCGTTATGGTTCATTGGTTCATGATTAACTTGAGTGTGCGAATTATAATTCCCAGATAGCACTAGGGGGGCGTTATTCCCGTGATTTCTTTAATAGATATGGTGATTTAAGGCACATCCGGCGATTGCGATTCTGGCCCTTGAATAAAGTCCTCATGGAGAAGTACGATTTCAGTGAGAAAGATGCAAATGATTTGACGGACTTTTTGGTTCCTATTCTTAATTTTGTTCCCGAAAAGCGGCCTACAGCTGGTCAGTGTCTTCTGCATCCTTGGATCAATGGAGCTCCACGTCTTTTGGAGCCATCCGTGTCTTCTAATCACAACCCAGCTGCTGAAACTGCTGTTTTGGATCAGAAGAAAAGGGAAAAAGATGAGAGGGAGGCCATGGAGGCAGGAATGGGAAATATTGTTATCAATTCAGATTCTAAATCACTGATGCAATCACCATCAAAGAAAGCTTTCCAATCCACTCAGCAGTAGTTCATCTGGCAAGAGCTCTTTCCTGTGTGGCTGTTTCTATGTTCTAAGCGTGCCCCTGCATCATTTCTCTCAATTATTGGTGCCCATGGGAATTGTTTTTGGGGCATGTCTATTTCCTGGGTTTTCCTGAACTTCTGATTTGGATGGGGTCGGAGATGTTTGAAGCCAAGTGCCAGCTAAATCCTTTCTAGTCTTTCACATTGCATACGAGAGCTCTCACTACTAAGAATACTGCTATCATATACCCTCTGCCTTGTTTCTCATGCCTATAATAGGTCATAGATGAGCCTCTGTCAACTGGTTCCATTGACTTGTTTGTGAACGTTGTTGATTATCATGTGCCCTTGTGCTTAATGATATTCTTGATATTAAAACAATATGTAGACATTTTCAGGAATTTCATTAACTAATTTTTAATTTAATAGTAACAGGAATGTTGAAAGTCAAGGAATAAACAGTTTCGTTAAAATCAAGGATAGATTTGGTTCTTGTATTTTATTGTTTTTTGATCAATGGGAAGGGGAATTAGTCTCGTACAGAGGTTACGGTCTGTCACAGAATCTAGTAATGAAGGAGTGCAGAGTCTTGCAAGGAATTGGAATTGATTTAAGTAAATTTTGTTGCTATCTAATTCTGCCAGTTAAATAAACCTTATTACTATTTGCTTTTCGATACAGTAACTTCAAGATTGCAGTAGAGAGACCAAATCCTGTTGAAGGATAAATTTAAATTATGTAAAACTCTTGTTAGTTGGGTCAGCAAAAGATCATGCTCGTAATGGGTTCGTGTGAAACTGAGAATAGAAAATTCAAATGTAAAGAAGAAATGCTCGTAATGGGTTCGTGTGAAACTGAGAATAGAAAATTCAAATGTAAAGAAGAAAGAATAAGAGAGTAAAAGACAGATAGACAAATGATCTGAATAATACTTCTTGTAAAAGAAACTTACAAACTGCAAAGATAGACTACAATATAAGTCAAAGCAATTGTAACAAATACAACAAAATGATCTAACAATTATTAACCGTAAGAGGTCAACACAGGCCGAACACTAGCTAAAATGATTACACACAATAAGACCGAACGAACAAAAAAAGACCGACTAAAACCAAAAGTTGAGTCAAACAACAAATCTTCACCTATACTTGACTATTACAAGAAAAACAAACCGAACGGTAAACAATTACAAACCGAACAGTACAGAACCAATCTTGGACAAAAACTTCAAAAATTTCTCCTTTGTGAGCGACTTAGTTAGCATATCTGCAGGGTTGTCTTCATATGTAATTTTGCAGATTTGGATAGCATCGGATTCTACAATGCTTCTGACAAAGTGCAGTTTGACATCAATATGCTTTGTTCTTGAATGGTATATTTGATGGTTGGCTAAATATATGGCGCTTTGACTGTCACAATGAACACAAGTGGACTTTTGATCAATCCCCAATTCCTGAATCCAAGCCTTTTAATCAAAGTGCCTCCTTTACCCCTTCAACAAGCGCACAATATTCTGCTTCACCAAGATCTGTGATAGACTCTCTTAGAACTCCACCCCTTCGATTCTCAACTAATGATCGAACGTATATTTGATGGTTGGCTAAATGTATGGCGCTTTGACTGTCACAATGAACACAAATAGACTTTTGATCAATCCCCAATTCCTGAATCAAGCCTTTTAATCAAAGTGCCTCCTTTACCCCTTCAACAAGCGCAGAATATTCTGCTTCACCAAGATCTGTGATAGACTCTCTTAAAACTCCACCCGTTCGATTCTCAGCTAATGATCGAACGTCTTCATCTTGAACTTCACCCGTTCAATCTTTCTTAGTCAACGACCGAATAACTTCATCAGTAGACTGCTTCACCTCAATGAGAGTCTTCTTCTCACGTTCATGATTTTCAGAATGCATTGCCATTCTTGTCTCATCAAAAACGACATCTCTACTAATGATCAATGTTGAAGGTTTATTATCCAACCTCCACAACTTGTATCCCTTAACTCCTTCAGCATATCTAAGGAATACACTTTTCACCGCTCGGACCTCCAGCTTATCCCCTTTGACATGTGTAAACACCAAAGAACCAAACACCCTTAAGTTTGAGTAATCTGCTGGCTGTCCATTCCAAACTTCCATTGGCGTTTTATGATTGAGAGCCGAAGACGGACTGTTGTTGAGGTCGCCTCTCCCCACAAAGTTTTTGACAACCCCGATCCAAGCAACATGCACCAAACCCTCTCAAAAATTGTTCTATTAATCCTTTCAGCCAAACCGTTCTGTTGAGGAGTTCCCACCACAGTCCTGTGCCTCTTGATCCCTTTAACCATGCAGAACTCATTAAATTCCTCTGAAAAAAACTCCAAACCATTGTTAGTTCTCAGGCATTTCAACTTACACCCTAATTGATTCTCGGTCTGTGTATGCCACTCCTTGAACCTTTGAAACATTTCAGACTTATTTTTCAGAACGTAGATCCACATTCTTCTTGAAAAATCATCAATTATACTTAGGAAGTACGCTCCTCTACCATGAGTTTGAGTTCTTGCAAGCCCCCACAAGTCAGCATGAGCATACTCAAATGGTTGTTCGGTTAAGTGTTTCCCTTTGTCGAACGATATTCTATGTGATTTTCCCAAGACAGAGTGGTCACAGAAATCCAGCTTCTGCAGCTTATCTCCATCTCCCAGAAGTAAACCTTGCTTCTCCAATTCTTCAAGACCCTTCCCACTGATATGTCCCATCCTCAAGTGCCAAAGCCTAGCGGTATTCTTTGACTTCTCACTTGCTACCGAAACATGACCAATGACAGTCGAACCCTCCAAAATATACAAGCCATTCTTTCTTCTGTCTTTGACAATCACAGAATCTCTAGAATACACTCTCATCACTCCATCTTCAACCTCATGGAGTAACCCCTAAGATCAAACGAACTGATAGAAATCAAATTTCTCTTTAGTTCAGGCACATATCTCACATCCTGCAGCACCATCTCCCGATTGTCAAACATCTTCAGCCTTACCGACCCCAATCCTTGCACTCGGCAAGCCTTGTTATTACCGAGCAGCACATTTCCATTCTCCTTTTGCTCCAAACTCTTAAAGAACTCCTTCATCGGGCACATGTGATAGGTACAGCCAGAATCCATGACCTAGCTCCTTTGAGAATCTTCAGATGAAGCCACCAGAACACCAGAGATTCATATCCCTCGGACGCCTCAGCCACATCAGCAGGTTCTTATGAATGAACGACTTTGCCCTTCTCTAGACAGAACTTCTTGATATGTCCAATCTTCTGGCACTTGAAACATCTCACCTATTTCGTACCTTCTGGTTTTGGCTTCTTCCAATTTCCCCCTGCTTCTTCCCTTTGCCTTTCACCGTAACGAGCTCAGATGCCTCCACCTCAGTTGCCTTCGAATCTTGAAGTTTTTGAAACTCCTTAGTTCGAATTGACATCACAACCTCCTCTAAAGTAATCACCTGATCCTTACCATAGAGCAAGGCATCCCTGAAATGCTCGAAGGTTCTTAGAAGTGCATTCAAAAGAATAACGGCCTTATCTTCATCTTCCAACCTCACATCAATATTCTCCAGATCATCAACAATCTTGCTGAATTCTGCAAGCTGCTCCTCTATGGTTCTTGATTCTGTCACCTTGAACGAATAAAGTTGTTGCTTTAAACACAACCTATGAGCCAACGACTTTGTCATATACAATGATTCCAACTTTGCCCATATTCCAGCCTCTCCTTCGCAACCTCCCTTAGCGCCTTATCACCAAGACACAATATGATTGCACTTCTTGCCCTATCAACCATTCTTTTCTTCTCTTCTTGCGTCAGAGTAGCACTCATGTTCAACTCCTCCTAATGCATCATCACAGCCCTGCTGTATCAAGATAGCTTCCATCTTGATCTTCTACAGCCCGAAGTCATTTGATCTATTGAATTTCTCTACATCGAACTTGGTTGCCATCGCTTCTGGAATTTCTTGATTCACAGTCCCACGGTGGGCGCCAATTGTTAGGTTCGCGTGAAACGAAGAACAGAAAACCCAGATGCAAAGAAGAAAGAATAAGAAAGTAAATGACAGAGAGAAAAATGATCTGAATAATACTTCGAGATTGTAAAAAAAACTTACAAACTGCAAAGACAAATTACAATATATAGCCAATCAAAACAACTGTAACAAACACAAGTCAATGACCGAATGATTATTAACAGTAGGAGTTCAACACAGGCCGATCACTAACTAAAGCTCGAACAATCACACAATAAGACTAAATGGACAGAAAAAAACCGAACGGTCTAAAACCAAAAGTTGAGTCTAATAGCAGAAATAAAAACCAATCACAAAAAAAAGCCAAATTTGGGTGGATGCATTTTAGTTTGTTTATGGGAAGTGTTTTTTAACAATTATATGTCATTTATATCTGATTTTAATTTAATTTCTATCTTTATTGTACACATTTTAAAAGAAATACACCTGCGATTAAAAGAGACATTTTTTTGTTGCTGTTCAGGTGCTTGCAAATTTGTCTTCTAATTCATCTAATTCTCATTGTGCGCAGTGAAAAATATCCCTAAAGATGAAAGGGAGAGAGAAATTAAATTATTAGTAATTCGAAATGATTAGAGGGAAAAAATGGAAAAAAAGACGAAACAATATTGTAATGTATATGAATACCATTATTGGGGCTAAACAATAAATATTAATCAAGTCAAACTCGACATGAATGACAAGCTGACAGAAGTCTTTTAATTTGTTTACTCAGATGTATTTCTTTTATTAATTAGCGTTCATTTATTCTTAAACCTTCGGCTAAGCATAAGCTCAATCATTGTCTAAGAATTTTGTTTATGGCTCGCGGTTTCTTTCAAAAGTTAAACACATTATTCAAAGGATCCAATGATGAGGTGAGGTTAAGTGCCAACCAAGAGGAACCGAGTGACGTCATAATTCAAAAGGGGCATCTTNTAGTTCAGGCACATATCTCACATCCTGCAGCACCATCTCCCGATTGTCAAACATCTTCAGCCTTACCGACCCCAATCCTTGCACTCGGCAAGCCTTGTTATTACCGAGCAGCACATTTCCATTCTCCTTTTGCTCCAAACTCTTAAAGAACTCCTTCATCGGGCACATGTGATAGGTACAGCCAGAATCCATGACCTAGCTCCTTTGAGAATCTTCAGATGAAGCCACCAGAACACCAGAGATTCATATCCCTCGGACGCCTCAGCCACATCAGCAGGTTCTTATGAATGAACGACTTTGCCCTTCTCTAGACAGAACTTCTTGATATGTCCAATCTTCTGGCACTTGAAACATCTCACCTATTTCGTACCTTCTGGTTTTGGCTTCTTCCAATTTCCCCCTGCTTCTTCCCTTTGCCTTTCACCATAACGAGCTCAGATGCCTCCACCTCAGTTGCCTTCGAATCTTGAAGTTTTTGAAACTCCTTAGTTCGAATTGACATCACAACCTCCTCTAAAGTAATCACATGATCCTTACCATAGAGCAAGGCATCCCTGAAATGCTCGAAGGTTCTTAGAAGTGCATTCAAAAGAATAACGGCCTTATCTTCATCTTCCAACCTCACATCAATATTCTCCAGATCATCAACAATCTTGCTGAATTCTGCAAGCTGCTCCTCTATGGTTCTTGATTCTGTCACCTTGAACGAATAAAGTTGTTGCTTTAAACACAACCTATGAGCCAACGACTTTGTCATATACAATGATTCCAACTTTACCCATATTCCAGCCTCTCCTTCGCAACCTCCCTTAGCGCCTTATCACCAAGACACAATATGATTGCACTTCTTGCCCTATCAACCATTCTTTTCTTCTCTTCTTGCGTCAGAGTAGCACTCATGTTCAACTCCTCCTAATGCATCATCACAGCCCTGCTGTATCAAGATAGCTTCCATCTTGATCTTCTACAGCCCGAAGTCATTTGATCTATTGAATTTCTCTACATCGAACTTGGTTGCCATCGCTTCTGGAATTTCTTGATTCACAGTCCCACGGTGGGCGCCAATTGTTGGGTTCGCGTGAAACGAAGAACAGAAAACCCAGATTCAAAGAAGAAAGAATAAGAAAGTAAATGACAGAGAGAAAAATGATCTGAATAATACTTCGAGATTGTAAAAAAAACTTACAAACTGCAAAGACAAATTACAATATATAGCCAATCAAAACAACTGTAACAAACACAAGTCAATGATCGAATGATTATTAACAGTAGGAGTCCAACACAGGCCGATCACTAACTAAAGCTCGAACAATCACACAATAAGACTAAATGGACAGAAAAAAACCGAACGGTCTAAAACCAAAAGTTGAGTCTAATAGCAGAAATAAAAACCAATCACAAAAAAAAGCCAAATTTGGGTGGATGCATTTTAGTTTGTTTATGGGAAGTGTTTTTTAACAATTATATGTCATTTATATCTGATTTTAATTTAATTTCTATCTTTATTGTACACATTTTAAAAGAAATACACCTGCGATTAAAAGAGACATTTTTTTGTTGCTGTTCAGGTGCTTGCAAATTTGTCTTCTAATTCATCTAATTCTCATTGTGCGCAGTGAAAAATATCCCTAAAGATGAAAGGGAGAGAGAAATTAAATTATTAGTAATTCGAAATGATTAGAGGGAAAAAATGGAAAAAAAGACGAAACAATATTGTAATGTATATGAATACCATTATTGGGGCTAAACAATAAATATTAATCAAGTCAAACTCGACATGAATGACAAGCTGACAGACGTCTTTTAATTTGTTTACTCAGATGTATTTCTTTTATTAATTAGCGTTCATTTATTCTTAAACCTTCGGCTAAGCATAAGCTCAATCATTGTCTAAGAATTTTGTTTATGGCTCGCGGTTTCTTTCAAAAGTTAAACACATTATTCAAAGGATCCAATGATGAGGTGAGGTTAAGTGCCAACCAAGAGGAACCGAGTGACGTCATAATTCAAAAGGGGCATCTTACAAAAACATTTTCCAATATATAATAGTGATAAAATTTCCCTCACAACCAAACAAAATTTTGAAGGGATGGATACAAAATAAAGCATTTTTTAATAGAATTCACCTTAGTAAATTTTTCAGAAAGGGACAAATTTAAATATCATTATTATATTATTGTAGCAAAACATATACGTGGTCACGTGATGTTCTTTGACGATGACACCTCTGTAGGCAGTAGCCGACAACATTCCAACGATGCATATTCCGTATTCAATTTCCACACTCTTCACACCAAAATTCAGTTCATTCAATTTGTTCAAAAAATCCAACTCAAAAAATAAAACTTTTATTATTAAAACATCCACACATTTATGACCAAAATCCGTGACAACGACAGCGATATTTATTTGTCATTCAATGTTGTTCATATTTATTTTCCTTAAGACCCTAACACAATGTATTTGCATACCACATGAAAAAGCTATGAACCTCAACATATTTGGTCCACCAGATATGGCTACAAATTGAAGACATAAATTCCTATATGGTGTTCTGATTTATATATTAATATTCCAATAAGTCTTAAAGCATGTTGGGTATATACTAATAATAATTTAAGATGACCCACTCAATTTTATACGAGAATATCTGAGGAGGTATCTTCATCTTTTGAACATCCAAACATATAAAACAAAGTGATATAATTTCCATTGTTTCTTTTTTCTTTACACAAATTTAAGAAATCTGAAACCACTGTGATATACGTGTTAGCGAGGAGCTAACACTCATCCACAAATTTATTCTCACAAGCCTTATTTATTATCGACACTGACGTTCATGGTGGTCAACCAGGCATTGACCAACATTTGTTAGTGCCATTGTTCTTCACACTTCATTTTCATTCACACCAAATTTTATTTTTCTATTTCTCATGCAGTCTAAGATAATATAAGATATATCACTGGCTGGAACAGAATCCCAAGAATCCCATGAACTCGTGGTTGTTTATCATTTCAATGCTGCTCTCAATGCCAACGACACCTGAAAGAAAAAAGAAAAAATTTCACAATCAGAAACTTCCATGTATTAACTACATTAAGAACAAAAAATTGTAATCAGCAATTTGGGTTGGTTTTCTTTACCCATTGTGAGAGCACTGGCAAAAATGACACCAGAGAGGATGAATACAATGATTGATGCTCTTCCAAGAAATGCAACAATTCTTCTCACAAAAAACTGGCCCCAGAAGCCAGCCAAAATAGAAACTGAGGTGAGGTATAATGCTGCAAGAAAAATCCAAAGAAAAAGACTAAAGTTATTATTATATTAATGTAACTGGTAACAAGATAATAACATCATCAGAAAGTGAGAAAAGGGATTAAAGGCTGAAGAGTTAATGTAAATTACCATAAGGAATGGGAAACCTCTTGAGCAAGTAGAATTCAACCACAGACAGAGATGAGGAAAACATCATCACAAATGTTGCTGTTGCACTGGCAACCTACAAGATATGATCAAATCAAACACCTTGAATTGTGATCCAAATTTAACTGTTTTAGCTCAATCAAAAGGGCATTTGAATCTACCTGAGGAATGACACCAATCTCTAGAAGAAGAGGGCCCAAAATAAATCCACCTCCAGAACCAAGTAGGCCTCCAACAACTCCCCCAACAATGCCACATAATGCACAGAATGCAAGGTTCACAGCAGTCCATTCTATAGAAGCTCCACATATGCATTCAGAGTTCCCTGTGCTCATCCTCCTTTTGTGCTCCTTGTACAACTTCACTGCTTCATAGCCAAACAACAACAGTGCAATTGGAAACTGCAAGACAATGAGAGAATAAAAAGTGCTAGAGAATTAGTCCAGTTACATAATAAGTTGAGTTTATGTGTTTAATGAGTTCTATAATCTAACCTGCAAGCCAAAAAGCACCCAATACCATATACTGCAGCTCTCCACATCATTCTGCAGACCAAAAGTAGATATTACTTTGAACTCATTTTAATGGAAATGTAAGCGATAAAGAGAAGGAAAATGAGGTGGGACACTTGCCTTGATGATTTGAACTAGTAGGAAACCAGCCCAAACCAGAACCAGTACCAGAATCCTCTTCCACCTAAGGTTCAGACATAAAATTTCCTGAACATTTTCATTGGACAAAAAAAAGTCAAGTATCTTAAATTTGCCTATTCGTTTCTGATAAAGCAAAATGAATAATCTGTGAAATGTGCTACACGTTTGCATACCACAGTTGACTTCTCTTCTCTAGGAATCAAAGGCTCACATTTTGTGTCGATTCTAACTGCATAAACAAAGACAACACTCATTCAGTCAGAGAAACAATAGTATGAAAGTTTTCTGTACTGTTTACTTTTTTCATTTTATATGAAAATATAGTACTGTGAAAGTGTACATGCCTGTCTTATCTTCATCGTGGGAATTAATCAGAGTCGCTCGTTGCTTGGTCTTTTCTCTCTGCATGATAGCAAACAAAAATTAAACAGGGAAAGTAAAAAACTCGGATTAAAAGAATTAAAGTTCATAGCCTCAAATCAAGAAAATTGACCTTGTAAATAGTCTCTTCCCTCCACATCCCGATTCCTTTGAAGAAAGACCTTGAAGAAGTTCCTGCAGAAAGATTAAACCCATATAAATGAGACAAAAAAGCACTCTTCTATGACTGTGGCCTAAAACTGATT